TGCCATCACCAGTGTGTGGATGGGTGGATGACTGGATGTGTAAAGCACTTTGGGGTCCTTAGGGACGAGTAAAGCTCTATACAAATACAGGCCATTTAAATGAAGTGTCAGATCGGTCCGATTTTCAGCCTAAGCCTGACAGACACAAAATTCCTGGATTCAGACTGAACGACTCTGATGATATTTGCACAGATGCACGTGTACCTGTCGGCAGGGCACAAGGTTTTTAGCACCAGAAGCTTTCTGGTTTTCATTTCCAGTCCGCTTTGTTGTCTTCTTTTGACCATTTGTGTTTGAGCAGCCTCAAAGGTTAACCAGCAATCCTAAAATGTATCTGCATTCATAAACGATGCCCGGTTTTTTGCTTTTTTAAATTTGTGGTTAAACTCCTTTATTTGAAAAATAGTCTCATTGAAGCTTTTATGACTACAGTGATGTCTGTGTACTGATAGTGTTGTGGTTGTTCTGTGGGCCAGCTGCTTGTAGATACTGCAGAGACATAATGTCTTTCCTTATCTGGACAGTTAGAACAGGGTCATGAAACTGCATGATCACAGCTGCTGCAAAATGTCTCTCCCATTCTCCTTGATATCGAGACAGTTCCCACAATAGTGTTTGCTCCAATTCATCTGCATCTCCTCAACAATTATTTCTGCACGAGGTTAATCCTGGACTCATTGTAAATTCCCTAACAACCTTGATACCTGCGGGCTCTCCCAGAAGCCATGAAAAATTTGCCTTTTAGGCTTAAGCAGTCTGAAAGGCGCTGTATCCTCCATCAGTAGAGAACCCACTGATCTGGGAACCGTGCATCTATGTTTTAATTTCTCTGTTTGGTCGTTGTTTCTGGTCCAGCGCATAAACGTAGAGTGTTTTGAAATATACTGTAAAAAGATGCAGACTTTGGCCACCATATTTGCTTCAACAGTTCATGTATTCAAATGACACACAAAGAAAAATGGTGCATTCCATCCATCAGTCCTGTCACCACAAATACACCATTAATCCTCTTACGTTTCCTTTAATACAACCAAGAGGCCAATTTAACATTTTGAGTCTAACTTCTTAACATCTAGCGCACAGATCGTCTTTAAATTTCCAGCACGTTTTCATTTCCCATTATCAACTTTCACCAGAGTTTGGTGCCTTTAAAGGCTACGTGTACTTTCTGTGCAGGCATAGGCTGTGAAGGATGTTAGACTACCTCTTGGAAGTGTGAACTTTACATTTGGCGTTCTCTGTAGCGGCGAGAAAGGGATGAATGTGACCTAAAGCTGGAGCATATTACCTTCTCATGCATGGATGGATGGATTCAAAAGAGTGATTCGGACCTCAAGCGAGCAGCAGAATCATTTTCTCGTAGAAGTCTTTACACTCACAGGGTCGCCCTCTGGTGGCCGTTAGAAAGAATGAAGGTGGAGCTCTTTACACCTTGAAATCAGAAGGTAGTGAGGGTGGTCTCCAGCTGTGCAGTTACCCTTGGAAAATCAATGGAAACTATTCTAACCTATTAACCAATTAAAAGGTAAGAAAACTACAGGTACAGACGAGGTCATCAGATGTCGTCTCTATGGGGGAAACAGTTAAGGGCTTCAGAGCCCATGTTCGTGTTTCCCTGTGATGGGCTACCCTGCTTTTTACCCAGTAACAGCTGGGATAGGCTCCTGCAGTTCAAAATATAGATTGATGACAGCATTCATCTTTTAAATACAGTTTATACACAATTCAGGAACCTTATATAAGTGTAGTTAGTAAACCTTTAGGTGTCATTATCAGGCATCCACTCTCTTAAACGTATTTATAAGACATTTTTAATCAGGTTATTTCAGTTCAAGGTGCTTTAAGATTGATTCCCATGAAGAATAAATGTAAAACGATAGAAAAATTCTAGTTTAAAGTAGCATATAATATTTTATTTAACATCCAGCAACTGAAGTAAATAAAATAAGATGAATAAAAACCAAAAAAAGAATAAGAAAGATTAGCTAAATGGAAGCCGTGAAGTCATTAATCATGCCCTCTTATTCTTTGTGGTTTTATTGAATGCAATCTGGACTCAGTTACACACTTAGTGACAGAAAATATTAGAGATAGGATTAGTTGACATGTAGCAAAAATCCAGAGCCAAATTTAAACCCACGCTATCACAAACACGCGGTCTGCTATCCAAGATTTTGAAAACACTCAGAGACCCCCGAGTGCGCCCTTATTGAATCCAGCCATCGCAATCAAACCTTGTTTCCGGCTGGAGTCGGAAATTTCACCGAGCGCTGGCGAGGCTGCAATGCAAATAGCATGACATGAAAGGATTAATTTGAAAACAGGCCCATTAGTGGTCATCACTCACTGCCAGCTTCAGCGGCTGTGGAGCTACCAGCTGGTTTCAAACCGAGGAACTTGCTCCCACTCTGTGAAAAATGATATAAAGTGACAGAGCGAGTTTACATCCAGCATCTACAGACAGCGTTTGTGCCTTCAGCTGTGTTAGCACAGGCACGTTTGAAGGATGTCACTTAAGTTCAAGTGTCAGCTAAATAATAAGAAAGCGGATCATTCGGGGCGAGCTGGAGTGTGGGCAGACTCCAGGTTTGTTGTGCGTCTGTTGTTGTGTGCCGTCGACTCATCGATTGTTGCCACTGTGACATCACCCATTGGTTCTGAAGTCTCGGCGTTACCATTTTGGCCCCTGCTATGTTGTTGTTTTAGAGCTAGTAGCAACCATATACAAGTTATTAGCTGAGCTTGGTTAGCAAGGTGCATAGCTGTAGAGCACAGGTATCTAATTATTGCT